ATCTCTCTGCGGGGTGGGGTGGGGGAGGGGCTGGAGCTGGTTGGGGTGGCTTAGCAGATCCGGACAGAGCCATCTGTCCTTTTGTCCTTCCACCTTTCCTGGCCCCAACCCCACCGCAGCCCCCTTCTCCCCACCCCATCCTCCCTTCCCCCTCCCCCATGATCTGTACGGATTTGCCCTCCGGAAGGAATTCTGGTTTCGCGTGATCCTGCCTGCGTCCTTGTCTCTGATTCCGCCGGCGGCAGAAAAAAAAAATGATAATGATAATAATAAATAACCGTGATCAGGGACCTCTGGCTGGCCTCGGGGTCTCGCTTCCTGGCGGCCACGTGGCCTGGGTGGTCCTGGTGCCAGCAGCCGGGCTCTGGGGGTGCGTGGCCTCTACAGCCGGCTGGCCACCAGAAACTGAAGCCTTGGTCAGTAACGTCTCCGTCCACCTCCCGGCCAGCTGGCAGCCTCCCCGGTGGGTCACGGGGGTGCGGGTGGGGCGACAGGCTTGGACTCCTCTTTGGTTCCTTTTCGGCCAGTAGAGAGGACACTGCTCAGAGGCGCTGGGACTGCTGGACCTGCAGGGAGCAGGGGGCCCTTGGCGTCGGCGGCGGCTGCGGGTCGAGGCCCGGGGCCGCCTGGAGGGACAGGGTGCAGCCGCCCAGGCAGGAGAAGTCCACGGCCAGGAGGCCGAAGAGCATGAAGATCAGCATGGCTGCTGCCCACTCGCAGGCCGCGGAGGCCGTCTTCAGCTTCAGCCGATAGGAAATGACCACTTCACAGCAGGGTCAAGGGCCTACAGACAGACAGCAGCCCCACCACCCCACGCCCCAGCCGGTGCTTTGAACCATTTCAGTGATGGCCATCATCAGCCATGAGCACCTTACGTAGCAGCCAGCTCTGTTGTGGGTGCTGCTGTGACCCAAGCTCCCAGGTGGACTGGGCTGCTGATGGACAGGTCAGCGGTTCAAACCCACGAGCTGCTGCAGGGGAGGAAGATGCAGTCAGCTCCCGTGAAGATTAACAGCTTCAATGAAATCACAATAAAAAGCATAATAAAAAACCCTACCCTGCTCTCAAGCTCTCCGCAGCTCCCGACCTCCCAGGTGGAAACCTGGGCTTCGTGCCTCCCACCTTAGAGGTGGCGGTCAACAGCCTGGCCTCACAGACAGTCTCACCTCTGCCAGCCCCCTCCTGTTCGCTTGCTGTGTCCCCAGCACCACCCTGAATCTCCCAGGACAGGTCAGAAGCAGCCAGGTCGCCTGAATTGCTCAGGGGATGGGCCCTTCCATCCAGAAAACATTCTCTCGCTTTTCCTTGTCACACTCAGAAAACGGCTTTTCTGACCTCACCATGCCTCTCATCCACTCATAGCCAAGAGAAGCAGATTGAACTTTTTCTAAGATCAAAGACTCCCCCGGGTAGCGGGGAGACCCTGGCAAATCTGCAGGGGCAACAAGAAACCAAAAACTCTTCAAAAAAGTTAAAGAGCAAAGATGTCACTTTGAGGACTAAGGTGCACCTGACTGACGCTGTGGGTTTTCAGTCACCCCACAGATGCCATTAATAAGGAAGACATAAAAAGAACTGATGGTTTTGAATTGTGCTGCCATCAAAAAAAGACTGAATAGGCCGTGGTTTTGTTAGAAGAGTGAATGAAGCTGCCCCAAGATAAAGGTACGCGGAGTGCTGCTTAGACGCCGGGATGGTGAGGCTTTATCTCACACTTTATCGGGAGGGATCGGTCCCTGGAGAAGCACGTCGTGTTTAGGAGATGAAGAGTAAGGAAAACAACATGACCAAGGCCAAGGGAGACACTGGATGCTGCTTGGGAGTAAAAGCCACGAAGGTCAGTGTCATAAACACGGCCCTGCAACAGCAGAAACAGCAGCCCCAACCAAGCCGACGGGTGAGCTGAGCAGATGTGAGAAGGGGAATGAGATACACTGGGGGTAGATGCAGGCTTGGAGAGGATGTTTCTCCGTGTGTGTTTATGTGTGCAGTAAGTATATTCAAAGATACTGTCAGGTATCCAGGGGGGAGGTTCTGAAGATGCCTCAGGTCCAGCCAACACGTCGAGAGAGTGAGGTATACGGGGCGTGAGAGTTCCAGTGGACATACATGGTCTGGGGGGACATGTAGGTCACCTGGCCTAACGTACCTCAAACGCTGGGAATCCCTGGACGCTTAATCGTGCTGGTGCAAAACAGACTCATACCAAGCAGCAGATGTCCACACAGGAGGGAACACTGCGTGGTTTACAATCCCAAAAGGTGTGCGTTGCGGTTGCATCCTTTCTCCACACCTATTCGGGTTTCATGCTGAGCAAGTCCTTGGAGCAGCTGGACTTCAGAAGCAAAACGTGGCATCAGGATTGCAGGAAGACGGACTGACTCATCAACAACCTGTTATGCAGATGACACACACCCTTCCTTGCAGAAAGTGAAGATTCAAAGCAAAGGACAGCAGAAGATCAAAGATTACATCTCAACAGCAAGAAAACAAAGAAGTCTCACCACTGGACCAAGAGGCAATATCATGTTGGATGGAGGAAAGACTGAAGTTACCAACTATTTCACCTTGCTTGTGGAAAGTGAGGACAATTTGAAATACTTGTTAAGAAGATCAAAGATGACAGCCTTCAATATTGATGACATCTCAACATCTAGAAAACAAAATCCTCACCACTGGGCCAGTAGGCAGTGTCAGGTTAGACGAAGAAAAGACTGAAGTTGTTAACAGTTTCATCTTAGGGAGCTCTGGGGGCCTAGTGGCAAGAAGCTGCGCTGCAATCCCAAAGGTGCGTGGTTTGAATCCACTAGATGCTCTGCTGAAGACAGAGGGGTAGGCAATCTCCTCCTGTACCAGTCGAATCCGACTCAAACAACAAGGTTAAAACAGTTTCATCTTGCTTGGATCCACAATCAACATTCATGGTAGTGGCAATCAAGAAATCAGAAGGCTTGGCGTTGGGGACATTTTCTGTCAAGAACCTCTCCAAAGTTTTAAAGAGCAAGGTGGTCAGTTTAAGTACTAAGGTGTGCCTGACCCAAGCCATGGTATTTTCAGTCGCATCTTATGCTGTGAGTTGCAAGCGACTCAATGGCACATAACCACCACCACCACCTATGCGTGTGAAAGTTGGACAGTGAATAAAGAACACGGGGGGAGAATCAATGCCTTTGGCTTGTGGTGCCGGCAGAGGACTGGATAGCCTGTGGACTGTGAAAAGAACAAACTAGTCTGTCTGGAAGGAAATGTAACCAGGATGCTCCCGAGAGCCACGGAGGGGAAACTTCATCTGACTGACTTTGGACATATTTTGGGAAAGGCAGAGAGGGGCCGTGAAAGAGGAAGACCCTCACTGAGATGGGCTGATGTAGGAACTATGACAGTAGGTGTCACAGAGTTGGGAAGAGGAAGAAGACAGGACAAGATTCAGATCTGTTCTTCATCGGATTATCATGACTCAACAGCACCTAACAATATCCACAAAGACAACGTTTTACGTCCAACCTGATGAGTATTAGTCGGTGTCTTAAATATGTTGTCACTATGCTCCGTCGAGTCGCCTGTGACTCATCGCGACCCTGTGGACGACAGCCCCAAATCCTGCTCTATCCTGTGCCAATCGTATTGGCTCTGACACACCTACTCCCCACTACCCCAGTCACTTCACTGAATCAGTCCATCTCATCGAGGGTCTTCCTCTCCTGCGCTGTCCCTCCACCCTCCCAAGCATGATGTCCCTCTTCAAGGACTGATCCCTCCTTGCAACATGTCCAAAGTATGTCAGACGAAGCTTCAGAATCTTTGCCTCCAAGGAGCAGCCTGGTTTCACCCTCTCTAGGACAAACCTGTTTGTTCTCTTAGCAGTCCATGGTATATACAATACTCTTCTCCAGCACCACAGCTCAAAGGCATCAGTTCTCCTTCTATCATCCCTAGAAAAACCTGTGTGTCTTAAATCTAGTAATCCTAAAACCTAAGATCCAGGCGAGCTCTAGTGGGCAAGAAGCTGCACAGCAATCCCAGAGGCACACAGTTCAAATCCAGCAGAGCATCTGGAAGTAGGGACAATCTCCGCCTGTCCCAATTAGATCTGATTTGATGGCACACACAAACAAACAAACCCACCTAAGATCCAGCTATGGATATCTTCTGTATTTCATTTTACTTAGATCTATAATCCTCAACACCCAATGTCAAAAACACCCAGCCATTCTCCTGTACCAGTCAGATCTGATTTGGCGGTACAATGCATAAAAAAATAATAAAATAAAAATTTCAAAAAAGCACAACAACAACAACAACAAACAAAACACCCAGCCAAGGGAGCTCTGATGGCCTAGTGGCAAGAAACTGCACTGCAATCCCAGAGGTATGAGGTTCGAATCCACCAGATTCTTTGTTGGAAAAGGAGGGACAATCTCCTGTGCCAGTCAGATCTGATTTGACGGTACACACACACACACACACACACACACACACACACACACACACACACACACACACACACACACGAAAGAAAACAAAACAAAACAAAAAACCCACCCAGCTAGTAAAAAAATTTTTTTTAAAAAAAGTTACATTGGGCAAATCTGTTCTCAAAGACCTCTTTAAACGTCTAAGTGTAAGTGGAATGCTCCTTAAAGGAAAGGATGTCGAAGCTTCATCTCACACAGTTTGAGCATGTCAGCAGGACAGAGAGGCCACTGGC